CTCCAAATTAAACAGCTATTTGTTTATAAACTGAACATCTCCAAATTAAACAGTTGTTTGATTATAAACTAAATATTTCCAAATTAAACAGTTGTTTGTTTATAAACTGAGCATCTCCAAATTAAACAGTTATTTGTTTATAAACTGAACATCTCCAAATTAAACAGTTGTTTGTGTATAAACTGAACATCTCCAAATTAAACAACTATTTGTTTATAAACTGAACATCTCCAAATTAAACAGTTGTTTGATTATAAACTAAATATTTCCAAATTAAACAGTTATTTGTTTATAAACTGAACATCTCCAAATTAAACAGTTGTTTGATTATAAACTAAATATTTCCAAATTAAACAGTTGTTTGTTTGTAAGCTAAATATTTCCAAATTAAACAGTTATTTGTTTATAAACTGAACATCTCCAAATTAAACAGTTGTTTGTGTATAAACTGAACATCTCCAAATTAAACAGTTGTTTGTGTATAAACTGAACATCTCCAAATTAAACAACTATTTGTTTATAAACTGAACATCTCCAAATTAAACAGTTGTTTGATTATATGCTAAATATTTCCAAATTAAACAGTTGTTTGTTTATAAACTGAGCATCTCCAAGTTAAACAGTGGTTTGTTATAAACTGAACATCTCCAAATTAAACAGTGGTTTGTTATAAACTGAACATCTCCAAATTAAACAGTTTGTTTTTTCCTAAACTTGACACTTCTATATTTCTTTATAAACTGAACATTTTAAACAGTTTTATAAAACTTGAGCAAAGAAATGTGTTTTGAAAAGAACTATTTAAAAGTAATTAAAACTGTAGTACGTCCTGTTATTTTAATTGCCATTTTTAGGTAATATATTCATCCCTTGACAGATTTGCTTAATTGATGCTTTTCCCTTAAAAAGGACAGAGGAACACATTGCACGGTTATCGAACACAGCACCACAAATAAATATTGTCATCAAATCTTCATACGGTGTTAAATATGGTTAAAATACTCACATTTTAACACGAGGACTTGGCTTCCCTGACCACTGTCCACGTCGTTTGAAACAAAGCACTGATAAACACCCTCATCTTCTTTGGTTAGCGAACGCAGCCGGATAGCTCGTTCTCCCGAATGGCGTATACCACCGTTGCTCGACAGAGGGCGCATGTTGTGACGCCATTCCAGTCGGTGCACTGGGTATCCACTAATTTCACACGAGAGTGTGACTGAGGACCCCAGCTCTACTTCTTGATGATCAGTGGTAATTCGTACCACTGCCACTAGAGGGGCTTAACCAAGAAAAAAAACAACAACATAATAGTCACGTACAGTTTACTTTGCAAAACGGAAAACAAAGTTTGTGTAATATATGTCAACCAACTAATAAATATATGAGGTCCTACAAAGTCAGTGTGTACTGCTTTATAAAGTTATTGTTCGGGGTTTGTTATTGAATTTACGACAGGACACACTGGTTGATCGTATTTCAGTTATATGTTACGACAGCGGAAGTCACGTGGTAACACTTGATGAGTTTCTAGAAGGATCGAGGAACATCACGAATAATCCACTATTTGCTAGACGCCCTCTATTCCTGTATATAAGCGCGCCAGATAAAGCGAGACAATTAATCGGAATTGGATAGCAGATAGAGAGATAGAGACAGATCATTGAGTCAAGTGAGCGGTAGTGACA